TGTTGGGGACGGCGGTTGTTGACGACGGCAAAACTCCGGCAATTCGAGCGATTCCAGATAAGTACCTGAAATTAAAAAATTATTTTGTCGAGGCCTGTGAAACACAGTTTCCTTAAGTTCGATTTCCGTGCCACCTCTAAAGCTTCGAGGCTATTGGAGCACGGTGAACTCCCAGGATACAACGACCGCGTATTTGGAAGAAGCTTTCCAAATACCAAGCGAACTCAGAGAGAGATATGAGCAAATATGTGAATGCTCTTTTTCTCTAGAATGCTTGTTTCTTTTCTGTGTGTTTTATGAGCTAACCCAAGACACTATTTATAGTAGAGAGGAGAATCTCAAAACAAATCAATTTGAATTTCAAAATTCAAATTTGATTTTATTTTGATATTATCTCAATCTTATCTCAATCATACTTGATAGATTTTCTGCGGATTTGAATCCAATTTGAATTTGAATTTCAAATTCAAATAAGAATATTCTCTTAATATTCTGCAGATTTAAATTTATACGGACCGGGCTTCTCACGGACTAGACCCGTTTTGATTCTATCAAATAAACCCAAATCCAACAGGATCTACGTGAACCTCCAACCAGTTCAAAACAGTAGGGTTTTTTCGTGCTACTTAGAGGAGGTGTTATGTAATTGTAAAATACGATTCGAATCCAAAGGGACATGTGATGCAAGCCCTTAAATGTTTATAACCATATTTATTTGATCCAACTAAAACATTTTATTAACCGACAAGAATGACAAAATTTCAACGATACCCATATTTTATGCGACGTTGTTTACTGTTTTTTTTTTAAATAGAAAAAAACCGTACAGCCAATTACGTATAAAATATACACGTTGAATTGGTCCGAACAATTTGATACCACTTTGGCAATAATAAATCGAATCACTTTTTAATTAAACAAACGATCAATTGGTTGCTCTATACACTTTGGGCGCAAAGCAGTGGGGCTTGCCATGCGACGAGTCTTACGTTTCTCACTCTCACCTGCCCCGATGTGTCAAACCAATTTCCGAGTCCTTTCGTTCAATCATTGCATTTCTCTGTAATGGAAAATGTTAAAAATAAAATTGCTTCAGGAGACATGCACATGTTCATCTCTCAAAATTGTATCCGACGTACGACGAGTAATGACCAATCCTTGTCTCGTCCTCGTTCGCCGATTTGGTTTCCGTATCTATACCATTTTTTTTTAATCAAATGGGTTGTACCAACAAACAATTTAAAACCATGTTCTGATGCTGATCGGACATAGATAGATTGTTTTTAGACAACCAAATTGATACGGAAAAATAAATAACGAAACACTGAAAATTTACGTGGTTCATCATAATATCGATCGCGTCCACGACCTAACAATAGAATGACCAATATCGACGGTTAAAGAGTTATAAGAAAAACAATCATAATTTTATATCATAAAAAATAAATATTTAAAAATTATGTCAACAAAAATAGAAGATATCTTGTTTTTTTTTTTTCAATTTTTTTCTTTGCTTTTCAATTTATTTAAAAATAAATTGGACACCCGGTTAACCATTTTTTTTTAATAAACTTTGCAACTAACTATACCACTTGAATGCATTTACTTTATATTAGACCTTTTCAGCTTGCCCGTTTCTAATAAGAGACTTTGGTTTACGAAGATTACAACCTCTATATATACCCATTTAGTCCATATGAGTTAAAGAAACATAATACATAAGATGAGGAAGAAACATGGAGGAAATTAAAGATGATTTAATGACATAAAAATTAGAAAATAATAATAATAATAATAATAAAATCATTATGCCATTACCTAGCACTTGTAACCATTTTTATCTCATCTAACTAAACACACTTTATTAACCGACAAAACGCCAAACTTTCAACGATACACGTATTTCAGCGAGGCTAGTTGTGTTTTAACCTCTCTTTTTTCCCTCCAAGTTGTTTCCTTTCTTATAACCTATAATGGATACACATTGAATTGGTCCAAATTGGGATGCCACTTTGACATAAATTAATCGAAACACTTTAATTAAACAACGACAAATTGATTGCTCTATGTGTTCGATTATATATATATATATATATGCATGCAACGAGTCTTATATTTCTCACTCTCACTTGCACGATCAAACCAATCTCCGACTTCTGTCGTTCAATCATCACCATCTCTCTCTCTCTCTCGTTCTTGATTTCTTTGTACCAAAAGCTTTTTTTTTTAGAAGTGCCTTTTCTTTCAAGTCTCTCCGGCTCAGCCAAGAAAGCTACGATACAAACGCATATAAGCATTGCTAGCAACGTATTGAGATCTACAAGATGTCGTCCGAGGCGCAACCCAGCAATGCGGAAATGAACACCTCACTCCCGAATGATCAAAATCCGCAAATATCCGCCGGAGTTCCCGATCAGCAAATTCCACCGGAAGTCGCCGCCGAAATAATTAAATTACAACAGAGCCGCCCTGATGCATCCACTTCTGCCGGGGCGACGACACAAAGCAACGTTGTCACGCTACTGGAGATTTCTCCGGAAGATTTGTTCGCTTTGCTGAAAGAACACATGCCACCGGGAGCTGCCGCCGCAATAAGGCCATTACGACAAAGCCACCCTGTTCCATCCACTTCTGCCGGGGCGACGACCCAAAGCAACGCTGACACGCCACTGGAGATTTCTCTGGACGATATCATCGCTTTGTTGGAACTACAAATGCCACCGGGAGCTGCCGCCGCAATAAGGATATTACAACAGATCCGCCCTATTCCATCCACTTCTGCCGGGGCGACGACACAAAGCAACACTGTCATGCCACTGGAGATTTCTCAGGATGATTCGTCCGCTTTGCTGGGACACTTCAGGCTACCGTTGGCAAACGACCTCAAAATCCGCAAATATCCTGTTGCATCCACGTCTTCAGGGACACAAAGCAACAATATCGTGCCGCCGGAGGTTCCCTCCGCTTTGCAGGGACAATCCATGCCATCGTTGCCAAACCACGAGTATTTACAACTGTCGCAGGCAATAATCCGAGGCGACTTGCAAGGCGTGAGGGATTACTTGGACGATAAACCTGACGCGCTGACGGCGTGGATAGACTGTAAAGAAACACCTCTGTTGAAAGCATGTCTGTGCGGACAAGTCGAGATCGTGAACGAGCTGTTGGGAAGAATGACCCCTCAACAATTGCTGAGTCGGCCTGGGCCTGGTCATAATCCCTTCACGCCCCTCACGGTCGTTGCTCGCAGCGGAAACATGAAGATCGCTGAGGCATTGATCGGGAAGAACCCCGAGCTGGCTAACTTCACGCATAGTAATTGGTCAGATCTGCCGGTCGTCAGGGCAGCGAATTCCGCACAAAAGGAAATGACTCATTATCTTTATGATCGGACCTCGCCCGAAGTTTTGCTACCAAATGGTGCGTGGGGGGGCATGCAACTCTTAGTGGATGCCATCTGCTTTGGATATTTTGGTAAGTCTTGCATGATGCAATATATATATATATATATATATATATATATATATATGTTTTGGATATTTTTTAAGTCGTGGATTTTATTCTCTTATATATACAATATGTATGACAGATATTGTCAGCCGCCTCCTCGATGTACTGCAGCCCCAAGCTGTGGTTACAAAACACCCAAAAGTAGCTTTGATTCCCATTTCCGTTTTGGCTTCATGTTCTAGTTTCTTTCGAAGCAGCAGCAATCTGTCCTCATGTCAACGCCTGATCTACTCAAGTATGTATACTATATGTATATACTTGTTATATATTTACTATTTGTTTTCATGCATGGGGAGTCGAATTCTCATGCAAACCATCTTGTCTGATTGCACGACAGTGATACAAGTAAATCAGGCGGCACCAAATGGTATGCCATATATATTCACTCTTCAGATTATTAAATGCATGCTTTGTCCATTAATATTAGTAAAAAAAATTAATTTTTTTCGGGTTATTCACTTCATTCATTTCGTATCAGGTCTAACCGCGAAGATACTTCAATGTTTGTCCGAGCGGAAATGGTTTGGTATGCCACCCTCCCCTTCATTCCTCTCTCATCTGTACTCAATTACGTGTGTCATTCATATATATATATATATATATATATATATATATTATATGTCATGGGCAAATATGTCGTAACACCTTCCGTGTCTTTCACTTACACAGGAATCAATAGAATGTATGAACTGAAGTTGCTGCACAACACAGCTTATAACATTCTACAAGTGATGTGTGACAAAACTTCACAACTGCCCAAGTACGGGGATTGGACGACTGCAATACTGAAAGCACTCGTTAACGCGGTTAGCTTTGGGAACCGGGAATTCGTGATCGAGATCATCAGACACAACCCGGAGCTCATGTGGTTTGGTCCTGATGGGAGGGATATCTTCATGATGGCTGTGGGGTCCCGAGAAGAGAGGATCTTCGAGCTGTTCTTCGGCTTAGATGATAGGAAACACGATTTGATTAATCGTTGGGACGACCAAAACAACAGGATTCTTCATATCGCCGGAGGTCTCTCCCCGCCCGAAAAACTCTCCCGGGTAGCTGGTGCAGCTCTCCAGATGCAACGAGAGATCCAATGGTTTAAGGTATGCCTTAATTTGTGCTTTATCCATCATTCATTGCCTTGTGTTTCACAAACGATTCTCTTGTGTAGGAAATAGAGAGCATCGTTCCAGAAAAGGATAGATGGAAGGTTAACGATGAAAAACCTACCGGGCTTACGGGACGTCAAGTATTCGAAAGAGATCACAAAGAGCTGCGAGCGCAAGCCGAGAAATGGATGAAAGACACTGCAACCGCGTGCAGCCTAGTGGCCGGTCTCATTGCAACGATCACATTTCAAGCAGTTTTCACCTCTCCCGGAGGCACCAATGGCGACGACGGCGTCCCGTTTCACATCAGATACGACCGTTTCATCGCGTTCGTGATCGCCGATGTTCTGTCCTTCTTCAGCGCCTCCACCTCGCTCGTCGTGTTCCTCGTCATCCTCACTTCGAGATTCTCTTCCGACGACTTCCACAAGTCGCTCCCGACAAAGATGATACTGGGTCTCCTCACCTTGTTCATCTCCATCGCGACCATGCTGGCGGCTTTCTCGGCTGCCCTTTTAACGATCGTCAGCAAAGCTCCGTCGATCGTCGTCCCGGTGATGCCGTTGGTCGGCGTCCCTGCCTTGCTCTTCATGCTGATGCAGTACCCTCTCCTTAAGGAGATGGTTTCTTCCACCTTTGGGAAAGGGCTTTTCAACCGCGACACCAAACCGTGGTTCTGATAAACCTATGTTCTTGTCCTTTTTATTCCATCGTCTTTCACTTCCATTTCCCATTTTGTGTGTTTTCGGATTAAATAAAAATTTCCATTTACATTATTCATCACTATATATTATTTGTTTAGACATTTTCCCTATTAGATTGTGGAACGTCCGTTACGAAAGAATCATATGATAACAGTCAAATGAAATTCCAAATTTGGCCTTTTCTTCAGAAAGTAACAGCAGCAACGGGGAACGCTCTGTGTACCTCCCTACCTGGAGACTCGGTACACTCGCCATCTCTTCACAACTGAAAATTTCTCCCAATCAAATTGTATAAACCCTAATTTCTCAGTCGTCATCTTCTTCGAATTTCCCCCCTCTTTTTTGTCGGAAACCCATTATCGATTTTCAGATTTCTGTCTCTGATTTCGGTCTCAAGCGAAAAAACAATACTGGTTAATGGCGTACGTGAAGTTGGGTTCAAAATCTGAAGTGTTTCATCTCGATGGCCGAACCTGGTCAGCCCTTGTTCTTCGATTTTCAGTTTTTTTATTTCTGATTTTTTTTAATCGGTTTGGAAATGACCGATTCTGGTATATTTTCGAGTATAATAGTCTTGAATATGACTTCTTGGATGATAGTAAGGATAAAAAAAGCATCATGGATTCGTGAAAATTTGGTTTCGATTATTAAATTTTTCACCGATTAATTATCTGGCCATTTGTATTTGCAATTTCGGTGTTCTGACATTTTTAAGGATTGATCTCTTTGAATTCTCCGTTGATACCAAGTTTTTTTTGTTGTGTGTTGTTTCTGTAGGGTGTTAAACGTTTTTTTTTATAATGGCCTGACCAAAAAAAACATCAGTCTAAAACCTTTGATGTTTCAGACATTTTTAGAAGTTGTTCTCTCTGAATTCTTTGCTGATTTGAAAGCCCAAAATGTTAAAAAAAAAAAAAAAATCTTCAGGTTGTGTTCGACAGGACTCCAATCAGATGTCGTGATCGAAGTTGGGGAAATGACCTTTCATCTTCACAAGGTATATGTATGTATGTATGTACGTATGTAGATAGATCTCCTTCTTACACTTTCAGGTGTTTTTCTGTCAGTTTCCATTGCTATCAAGAAGCGGGTTTCTAGAAAATCTTCTAGGAGATATATCCGGAGAATATGACAAGAACTGTTATGTTCAACTCCATGAGATACCCGGTGGAGCCACGACTTTCTTGCTCGTGGCCAAGTTCTGCTACGGCGTAAGGATCACAGTCACGGCCTCCAACATTGTCAGTCTCAGATGCGCTACAGAGTACCTGGAAATGAGCGAAGACTACGGAGGAGGAAACCTCGTATCTCAAACCGAGAATTTCCTCAACAAAATCTTCGCGAATTGGAACGATTCCATCAAGGCCTTGGAGACTTGCGGGCAAGTGTTCAACCACGCGGAAGAACTTCATATCGTCTCTAGATGCATCTCTTCTCTAGCCTCGAAAGCTTGTTCTGACCAGAGTTCGTTCGGCTGGCCGATGTCAGGACCGAAAGGAACTGTATTCTGGAACGGTATACGAACTACGGCCGTGAAAGAAGACTGGTGGTTCGACGATGCGTCCTCCCTCAAGTTCCGGTTGTACAAAAGGTTCATCGAGGCGGTCAAATCTCGAGGGATGAAGTCGGACAGAGTGGCAGGGTCGATAATGCACTATGCAAAACGACATTTGCCTCTACTCGGTAGTAATCGTCAATTCGGCTCAGATAACGGAACTTTTTTTTATTCGTCTCCGCTACACGAAGACCAGAGAACTCTCCTCGAGGAAGTAGCGGAAATTCTCCCGGATCAAAAGGGTGTAACGCCGACCAAGTTCCTGTTGGGGGTTTTTTCGTTACTTCGATCGTTTATCACGGATCAGTAACACAAACCCCTTACTTGTGTAAACCTGTGAGGATGACAATATCTAGTGCAACGGTACAAGACAACGATTTTTAACGTGGAAAACCCCCTCGGTGTGAGGAGTAAAAACCACGGGACCGTAGTCCACTCAAAAATCCACTATAACTGGATTACAATGTTCACACAGCAACACACTGAGATTACAGAATATTAACTCCAATATTCTAATCTCAGTAACCCGAGAGAACACTACCCATAAGTAGTAATCAGACTGCAAATCAACCCCGTGACTTCTGATTCCAGCAACAACTCAACCGTATAAATCAAAGACGAAAGGGTCATGAACAAGTATACCGATTTGCAGCTCAACCGGAGACGAAAAACCACCGTCAAATATCCCGACGATCAGAACTGTGTTGATTCGCTCTGTAGAGAACAACTTCCGAAAAACCTCCGTCGGAGTGTAGAAACTCTTCTCACAATTTTAGATCGATTAGAAAAATATTTTTCTGATCGAATCTCTCCCCGAATACCCACACTATTTTTCACTCTTTTTTTTCTCTCTCCTTTTTTTTTTCTCTCTCGCTTTGCTTCTGCTTGCTCCCTTGCTCTGCGTGCTTCTCCCCCTCCGCGAAACCTCCGTTTTATAGGCAAAAATTTGCCTAACAAAACAAATCAGGTGGGGCCTATGGAGGAAAATTTTCACGCCACCTTGCGGCTGCTTTGGCTTCATCAGGCGGAAAATTCAACAATTCTCCCCCTTCCGACTATGAAGACAGAACCTGTCATCCCAGCAATCTTGCGACACACTTCAAGCTTCCCTCTAGGAAGTACCTTTGTCATCATATCAGCACCATTGTCATCAGTGTGAATTTTCTCGAGCTCAACCTCCTTCGAATCAACGACATCTCGAATCCAATGATACCTTACATCAATGTGCTTCGATCTTGAATGAAACGTCTGATTCTTCCCAAGATGAATGGCGCTCTGACTGTCGCACAGCAAGACATATCTATCTTGTTTAAACCCAATCTGCTCAAGAAACCTCTTCATCCACAACAACTCCTTACAAGCTTCCGTTGCGGTGATAAACTCAGCTTCAGTAGTAGAAAGTGCAACGCATTTCTGCAACTTCGATTGCCATGCCACAGCTCCACCCGCAAAAGTTACCAAGTAACCAGACGTAGATTTCCGAGAATCCGTATCTCCGACCATGTCAGAATCTGTGTAACTAATCAACAAAGGTTTATCACCTCCAAACACAATTCTCAAACCAGAAGTACCTCGAAGATATCTCATAATCCACTTCACTGCTTGCCAATGTTCTCTTCCTGGATTTGAAAGAAACCGACTGACAGTCCCAACGGCGTGAGCTATATCTGGTCTTGTACAAACCATAGCATACATCAAACTTCCCACTGCAGAGGCGTATGGAACTCGTCTCATCTCCTCCTTCTCTGAGTCTGTACTCGGACTCTGTTGACTGTTCAATCTAAAGTGTGAAGCAAGAGGTGAATTCACAGCTTTAGATTTCTCCATATGGAACCGTTGAAGTACTCTCTCAATGTACTTCTCCTGGGACAGATACAACAACTTGTTACTTCTGTCTCGATTAATTCTTATACCAAGAATTTGCTTTGCTGGTCCCAAATCCTTCATAGCAAAGAACCGACCGAGTTGTTTCTTCAACTCCATTATTCTATCTATGTTCTTGCCCACAATCAACATGTCGTCCACGTAGAGCAGCAAGATGATAAAATCATCCCCAGAAAACTTCTGCACAAACACACAATGATCTGAAGTCGTCTTCTTGCAATCATGTTCCCCCATAACTGACTCAAACTTCTTGTACCATTGCCTCGGTGCTTGCTTCAACCCGTAAAGACTTTTCTTCAACCGACAAACGTAATCCTTTTTGTCCTTCTCAACAAAGCCCTCAGGTTGTACCATGTAAATCTCTTCCTTCAAATCACCATGAAGGAAAGCCGTCTTCACATCCATTTGCTCAACCTCCAAGTCAAGACTAGCTGCCAATCCCAGAACAACCCGTATGGATGACATCTTCACAACTGGCGAAAAGATCTCATCAAAATCAACTCCTTTCTTCTGACTAAAACCTTTTACAACCAGTCTAGCCTTGTATCGAGGATGCAAACTGTGTTCTTCATGCTTAATCCTGAACACCCATTTGTTAAGCAATGCTCGTTTACCCTCTGGTAACTTCACCAACTCAAACGTTTGATTCTTGTACAAAGAATCCATCTCGTCATCCATGGCCTTCAGCCATTCATCTCTGTGTTTATCTCCGAGAGCCTCATCAAAACTTTCTGGTTCTCCCCCTTCAGTAAGTAATACATACTCACTTGGGCTATACTTCGTCGATGGCCTCCGAGGTCTCTCAGATCTTCTCAACATCGGTGGGTCTTCGGTAGTTGGCGACTCAACCCGATAGTCTTCATCAACACCGTCATCAACCTGCACGGGAACATCTGTACCAGGTGTTTCTCCTTGTACCTCACCCTCAATAGTTTCCTCAATTGTTGTTCGAGGAACTATCCCTGAGTCGATCAAACCTTCAACACTCTGAGTTGGACTTTTGCATTTCTGAATATCCCGAATAGTTTGATCCTCCATGAACACAGCATCTCTACTTCTGACGAGCTTCTTCTCCACTGGGTCATAGAATCTGTATCCCATTTCATCAAGACCGTATCCAATGAACACACACTGTCTTGACTTCACATCTAGCTTTGACCTCTCATCTTTGGGAATGTGAACAAATGCTTTGCACCCAAAGACTTTCAAATGACTGTAGGAAATACTCTTGCCAGTCCAAACCCTCTCTGGAACATCACCATGTAGCGGAGCACTAGGTGATAGGTTCAAAATATGAACCACGGTGCTCAAAGCTTCACCCCAAAAGGAATTCGGCAAACCTGACTGAGAAATCAGACAGCGAACTCTCTCCATGATCGTCCTGTTCATCCTTTCCGCCAACCCATTCAACTGTGGTGTCTTCGGCGGTGTCTTCTCATGCCTAATGCCTTGTTCACGACAATAAGCATCAAACGGTCCGGAGTATTCACCTCCATTGTCACTTCGGATACACTTCAACTTCTTCCCAGTCTGTCTCTCCACCAAGACTTGAAACTGCTTGAAGATACCCAGAACTTGATCCTTAGTCCTCATAGTATACGCCCACAGTTTTCTCGAATGATCATCGATGAATGTGACGAAATATGAGGCACCACCCATTGATCTCGTCTTCAATGGACCACACACATCTGAGTGTACCAAATCGAGAATCTCTGATTTTCTCGAAGGTATAGAAGACTTAAACGCAACTCTGTTTTGTTTTCCTGCAAAACAGTGATCACATTTCTTTAAATGTAATCCTGAGACTCCTCGTAGAATCTCCTTCTTTGCCAGCACAGACATTCCTTTCTCACTCATGTGTCCGAGTCTTTTGTGCCATAACTTAATAGCATCTTCACTCTCTAAGGCATTAATGATATCCTTAGAAAGCTTAGCATGCATCAAGTAAAGCGACGAAGATTTTGTTCCAAGAGCTATAACCATGGAACCTCTGGTAAGTTTCCACTGACCTCCACTGAATGTACTGCAGAAACCTTCATCATCAAGTCTTCCCGCTGAGATCAAGTTCAGACGAACATCTGGAACATGCTTAACATCCTTAAGCATAAGTCTAGTACCAAGACTAGTCTCCAAGCAAACATCTCCAATGCCAACGACTTCAGCCGAACCATCATTGGCCATCTTGACGAAACCAAAGTTACCCGGAGTATAGGTAGCAAAGAATTCACGTCGTGATGTAGCATGAATGGAAGCTCCACTGTCCATCACCCAACTGGTCTCATGGCACGTGAGATTGATCATATCACCATCGACCATGATCAGGAACTCTTGCCTTGCAACTGCAACTCGTTCCTCGTTGTCCTCTTGATTTGCAGTCTGATTACTACTTATGGGTAGTGTTCTCTCGGGTTACTGAGATTAGAATATTGGAGTTAATATTCTGTAATCTCAGTGTGTTGCTGTGTGAACATTGTAATCCAGTTATAGTGGATTTTTGAGTGGACTACGGTCCCGTGGTTTTTACTCCTCACACCGAGGGGGTTTTCCACGTTAAAAATCGTTGTCTTGTACCGTTGCACTAGATATTGTCATTCTCACAGGTTTACACAAGTAAGGGGTTTGTGTTACTGATCCGTGATAAACGATCGAAGTAACGAAAAAACCCCCCAACAAGTGGTATCAGAGCACCGTGGTTGTGGGTGCACTTGTGTAAACAATGGAGGCAAATACTAGTCGGATGGTGAGTTTGAACGGTACCAACTATCACGTGTGGAAAGGCAAGATGGAGGATCTGCTATACGTGAAGGAGTATCATCTACCGTTGATTGTTGAAGAAAAACCCGAAGGCAAAACTGATGAGCAATGGACATTGCTGCATCGACAGGTTTGTGCATTGATACGACAATGGGTGGATGACAATGTTTTGAACCATGTGGCTGGTGAGACTAATGCTCGATCTTTGTGGAGCAAGCTAGAGCAGTTGTATGCGCGAAACACTGGGAATCGCAAGTTGTACTTCATCAAGAAGTTGGTTGATTTAAAGTATGCCGAAGGAAGTCCGGTGACAGATCACCTGAACGTGTTTCAAGGTCTGTTGAACCAGTTATCTGATATGGGGATCACCTTCGAAGATGAGATTCAAAGTTTGTGGCTTCTCAGCACACTTCCGGATTCGTGGGAGACATTCAGGATATCACTGTCAAACTCAGCTCAAGACGGTGTCATCTCGATGGAATACGCAAAGAACAGTATTCTAAATGAAGAGACACGGAGACAGTCTCAAGGAGCTTCCTCGAGTTCTGATATTCTGGTATCTGAATCGAGGGGGAGGAGTCAGAATCGGAATCCGAAGGAGAAAAATCGGAACAGGAGCAAATCCAACAAATTTGCAAATGTGGAATGTCACTACTGCCACAAGAAAG